GGAGAAGATCACCAGGACTCCACTGCCCTCTCTGCAGAGCATTTACCACCGCAGGGTGCGTAGAGAAGCTGCCTCCACCCTCAAAGATCCAACACACCCCCAGCACGGAGGTTCAGAAGTGTGAAATGCAGGACCACTAGACTGAAAAACTCTCTTTCTTTCCCTCTGCCATCAGACTCCTAAACAGCTGAGGAGTTTATACATACTCTCAAATAGACTACTTTGTTTTGGATAATACTTTGATTTCGGAGGTTAATTACTTTTTTGACAACAGTCCTTTCTGACTCCTTTGAAACTGGGGCCCTTCCTCCCACCTTGAATCAAGCATGTATCTCATTGCTGCTTAAAAAAGACAAAGATCCTTTGGATTGTGCTTCTTACAGAGCCATCTCTTTACTAAATTGTGATGTTAAGATTCTAGCCAGAGTGCTGGCTTCGAGACTGGAAGATGTTCTCCCTGATATTATCTCCCCTGATCAGACGGGCTTCATAAAGAATCGACATCCATTCTTTAACATTCGTCGCCTGCTCAATATAATTCACTCTCCATACCACTCGACTCAGGAATGTGTAGTTTCTCTAGATGCTGAGAAGGCATTCGATAGAGTGGAATGGGATTACCTCTTCTCTGCCTTGGATAAATTTGGATTTGGCCCTAACTTCCTCTCATGGATTAAATTATTATATAATGCACCCTCTGCTGTAGTGCTAACCAACGAAGTGTCCTCCCGTCCATTTAATCTGCAGCACGGAACCAGGCAGGGTTGCCCTTTAAGCCTGTTATTATTTACCCTAGCCATTGAACCACTGGCAATCGCCTTACACGAGTGTCAGCAAATTGCCGGAATCGCGCGTGGTGGGCTCACACATAAAGTTGCGCTATATGCTGATGATCTATTGCTTTTCATTTCTGAGCCTCAGACTTCCTTGCCCTCAGCTTTGACTGAGGACTTTGGTAAATTCTCGGGCTATAAACTCAATTTAGATAAAAGCGAACTCTTCCCAGTCAATGTGGCAGATGGGTAGTCGCCATACGCTAACATACAAATTCACATATCTTGGTGTTTGCATGGGCAGTCGCCATACGCTAACATACCTCTGAAGATAGTAAAAAACTAATTCACATATCTTGGTGTTTGCATCACCCGCCAATACAAACAGCTCTTTCAATATAACTTTGGTATGCTCTTAGAACGAACCAAGAAAGATCTTTCAAAGTGGTCACCTTTAAGATTATCATTTATTGGGAGAATCAATTCTATTAAGATGACTGTCCTCCCAAAATTTCTTTACCTTTTTCAGAGTTTACCTGTCTTCATTCCTTTGTCCTTTTTCAAATCCTTAGACTCTATCATTTCTACTTTTATTTGGAATGGCAAACGTCCAAGGTTGAGGAAAGCGCACCTTCAAAAATCCAGGTGTCATGGTGGGATGTCTTTGCCCAATTTTAAGTTTTATTACTGGGCAGCAAATATACGTAATATATTGTACTGGTGGCATTACCATTCGCAACCCTGTAAACCACCCTGGGTAGATTTGGAGGTGCATGCTCACGATAAACTTTCTCTTCCGGCTCTTCTTGCATCTAGGCTGGATTTGGTTTCATACTCTATTGCCAATTGCTCAGTGGTGAGACATTCACTGCGGATCTGGACTCAATTTAGGAGGTCGTTTGGTTTTGGGGGTCCGTCTCTTTTAAGCCCCATTTTTCACAATCACCTTTTTCTGCCTGCAATGCAGGATATCACCTTTGGGAACTGGTCTGATAAGGGGATAACATGTTTTAGGGATTTATTTATAGACAATGTATTTGCATCCTTTGACCAGCTAATGTCACACTACGGGCTGGTTAAATTTGATTTTTTTTTAGAGTCCTGCAAATAAGACACTACGTCAGATCTCTTCTGACTGACTTTCCTGTTTTACCCTCTGGGAATCCTTTGGACCTCTTCCTTTCCTGCAATGTGTTAATTAAAGGTTCAATTTCAAGGCTGTATAATCTACTTTTGAATCAGTCACCCTCCTTTGCACATAACATTATGAGGGCCTGGGAAGTGGACCTTGGTAGTTTGATCTCGGATGATCTATGGGACGACGTTCTTAAACAGGTCCACTCGTCATCAGTATGTGCCCGGCACTCCCTAATTCAATTTAAAGTGGTACACAGGGCCTAGCTCTTTGTGTAATAGATGTCAAGGAGCCGAAGGCACTTTACTTCACATGTTTTGGACTTGCCCTGCTCTAGAACATTTCTGGTGGTCAATATTTGACTCTCTAACTACGGTTCTCCAGCATAGATTAGAACCAATCCCACAGGTGGCACTGTTTGGGGTTGCCCCAGAAGAACCGCAGTTATCTCTACCAAAGCGTAAAATTATAGCTTTTTCCTCTCTGCTGGCACCTAGAGCTTGGCACGTAGAGCTATCCTGTTAAAATGGAAAGAACCTCGTCCCCCCACCCATGCTCAATGGATAAGAGAGACTATGTCCTGCCTCTATTTAGAAAAAATTAGGTTTTCATTAAGAGGGTCAGAGAAGCAATTCTTTAAGGTGTGGCAGCCATTTCTTGATTACGTTAATAGCCTTTGATAGCTTGTAAATACTTTCATGGTATTGATGATGCTCACGGTGGTATATGTTATTTAAAACCATACTTGTGTGTATGTGACTTTCTCTAAGGCCTACATGTGCAATTGTGTATCTGTTTATGGCTGTTTAATGTGAGTGCTGCTTGGTTAGTTAATGGTAGGGGTCAGGGGTTTGTTTTGTTGTTGTTCTTGCTTGAAATTCTGAAAATCAATAAAAAACATAAAATACGAGAAAAACAATGACAGTTACCGATCTGTTGATTGACAGCTGCCAGCTGGTTGAACCAATCAGAGACCAAAGCAGTAGAGCAGGTGGGCGGGACCAGGGAGCTGAAACACAGACAGGATGTGACTGGATGACAGCGCTGAGGGGCAGACACCGGAGGGAGGATCCTCCAGCCGACAACACACAGTGAAAAGAAAAGTGAAGTTGAGCAGCTCTGGACACTTTGAGCCTGATTTTAGCATCTGATCCCTCACGCTGACTAATTCTACTCAATATGAAAGACTGGTGGCTGACTGACGCTCAGGACAGCTGATTATCGCATGATCAGTATGGCAGGTCAGAAATATTAGCAACTCCATGGTCAGATCCATCATGCTGCTGCTGCTGCTGCTGCTGTGAACTAAAGGCGGGAACACACTTGAGAGCTGTTTCCAGTAACCTGTGCAGATGTTTCGTCCACGACCATTGAGAAGGAGCACACACCGGCTCTGTGGACAATGTAGTGCAAAAATCCAACTACACTGCTCTTATTAGAAATCCTTATTTGTTGTAATTAAATGCTAGCAGTCATGAGTCTTATGACTGTCGGGGGACAAGCAGCTGAGATGTTCCCGGGCCGGGCGTCACTGTTTTCCTGCCTTTCTGCTGTTTGCGTAGTTGTCTCTTTTATTGTGTCATAAATGCTTATTGCATTGTAAATATCTTAAGGGAAGGGAGACACCATTTACTGTAGTTACAAGCGGGAGGTGACACTCCGTCCAGCCATCTGTGCTGATTTGGTACAACCTGGGGTGTGAAGGAAGAGACAGGCATTTGGTCGGAAGGATCTTGCTGAAGGTTGGATGTCCATTTACGAATGTATCAGTGAATCCAAAAAGACACCTCTTGCTCACAAGTCCTTTGATCACAGAAATTCCCATGACAGACAGCACCCTGAGCCAGTGTCTGCAAAACGAGATCACACCAATTCTTGTACCAAAACAAACACAGACGCCCAAATCCAGCTCGCACTGTCCACATCTAGCCATAGGTCACAGTCCAGTTTGTGCTGAAAAGGACAAAAAAGAGGAAAGAGGAGCAGGGTGTGGGTGAAATCCTGGATGGAGAGGGCAGTGTGCACAGAGTCTACTATCAGTCCTGCTGACTGGATGTTGTAGAGGCGTCATTCTCCTGCACAGTTTCAGCTATCCAGTGCACGTTCACACCACCGCTTTTTGGTCATCAGTCTTGAATGTTTACCTGTTGTGTACCAAATGACATCAACAGTCGCATTGGTCAGTCGCAAATATTAAAAATGTTTAAAAAATATTTCTGAGGACAACTGGCGATGACTGGATCTGAAAACTGAAGATTAGAGTCTTCACCTGTCGCACACTACACCATCTTATCTGACGACTGTCAAAGACTGGGTCCAACTGGATATGATCGGTCGTTCATTATCAGCTCAGCAGTTGTTGAGTGTGTCCCCACCTTCAGTGAAGCTTATTTTAGTTTCACTGGTTCTCCTTGTTACTTCCATACCCAGCTCATGGGTCGTTCATTACAAAAGCTGTAAGTAAAGGCCAATTGAAATGTGTAGTGTGACTTAATGAGCCTGTAACAGCTGGAGAAAACAGTGAGGTGGAGGCGAGGGTGGGTGGAATCACTGTGACAAAGTGGACCAATGAGAAGACAGAGTCTGTGTTGCTGTTACCACGTTTTATAGACAAGATCCCGACGCTGTTCAGTCAAATTTCTCTGAGTCTGTTTCTTCTGAACTGAGATCTGCTGTTGCCGCCCATCACTGCTGCAGACACTCCTGCAACACAAGCACTGCTGATCCTGGATTTGTTGGTGCAAATACTAGTGATACAGCTGCTAAAAACTGCAGTATAAGCAGCATTTATACTGATACTACTGCTGAGACGGTGTTCCCCGGACCTGTCTGTACCCTGGTTCTCCACCCACCTGAAGCGGTCTATGACCTCTTTGACTCTGCTTGCTCTCCAGCGGCTCAGACAGTCCTCCCAGCGCAGACGGAGAAGTGACTCCTGGTGCAGGTTGTCCTCCTGGAGCAGCAGCAGCAGTCGACCCGTGCTGCGACGGTTTGCCAGCAGAGACTGATTCAGCATCTGACACAAACAAAGGAGAAGTGTGACATCGGTGTGTGGATGTCAGGGGTCAGAGGTCACTGCCATCTGAGCATTACCGTGGCCTCGGTGTGGATCCGTCGGTGGACATCAGCTGGAAGCAGAAAGCTGATCTCTTCCAGCAGGTGACAGTACTTCCTGAGCACAGCTCTGATCTGCACACATAGAGCAGCATTTCAGAACTGATCCTGGGTCTGGGTCCATTCCCTTATGGACGTGTGTCAGTGTCACACCTGGAGAGTTCATTTTTAATTCGACCAGAAAAAGACTTTTAAAAGTCATCTTGTTTTCTTTTAATTTTCCCTCGTCCATGCATTTGTTACTTCCAGGCTGGACTACTGTAACTCTTTACTATCAGGATGTCCCAATAGTTCCATAAAAAGCCTCCAGTTAATCCAAAATGCTGCAGCCAGAGTACTGACAGGAACTAGCAAGAGAGATCATATTTCTCCCATATTAGCTTCTCTCCACTGGCTCCCTGTAAAATTCAGAATAGAATTTAAAATCCTTCTCCTAACATACAAAGCCCTTAATGACAAGGCTCCATCATATCTTAAAGACCTCGTAGAGCCTTATCATCCTAACAGAGCACTTCGCTCTCAGAGTGCAGGTCTACTTGTGGTTCCTAGAGTCCACTGGATCAGGTGACCCTGAGCCTTCCCTTAGTTATGCTGCTATAGGCCTAGGCTGCTGGGGGGCCCCATGATGAGAGTTTCTCTCCTCTCCTCTCCTCTCTCCCTATGCTTCTATATGCCAACATTACACTTTACTAACTTTGTGTCTCCTCTCTCCTGTAGTGTGTCCTCTCTCTCTCCCTGTACCTTTCTACAGGTTGCCCTGGCTCTGGAGCTCTATGTTTCTGATGAGCAGTCACCAGCCACATCAACCTGACCAGTGTTTGATTATTTGTTGTGTCTTGTTGGGCCTAGGCTGCTGGGGGGGGCATGATGCTCTGAGCTCCTCCCCTCTCCTCTCCCCCATCCTCTAGCCTCCCCTCTTTCCTCTCTCCTCTCCTCTCCCTTCCCGAGGGACTGAGTGAATACATCCACTACGCATGGCACTGCCCTGAAATAAGATTTAATCTGTTTGAAATTCATATGTGACGATCAAGGTTGACTTGTGGAGGCCCGCCTCAAATAAATCAATGTACGGGAAACCTGCAACGTGTGTAAATTAAGTGATTTTTCTTATTCATCATGTTTCAAGCAGTCTTTTGCGATGATTTTATTGTGCATGTTCATATCGCGGTGACAATGAAAATACGAGTTATGGGTCAGCCCTACACTGTGCAGGATTCTGGTCTCCTCTTCACTGGACAACAGGGCTACAGCCAGCGTGAGCGGCATGTTGAGGCTCTGTATAAATCCTGAACAAACCCCTGATGAAGTTTAAAGTCAGTCTGACCTTGTCCGTGCGCTGACTCTCAGACTCAGTCAGTTTGTTGTTCAGCTCCAGGATCCTGATCTTCTTCAGTTTCACCTCCTCCTCCACCTGCTCCCACAGACCGCGCACCTCCTGCAGAGGAGAGAAACAGCTACTAAACCTTAAGGAGAGACTGTTTGGCCAACTGCTGTTTCCAAGGTCATGAGTCAAGTTTTTTTTTTACTCAAATTTATTATTTTCCATATTATTTTACTTATAATTACAGAACACAAAATAGGTGTGCCAGCGGGTACATCTCAAGTCTCTTATGAGCACCGACATTTCCCTCACTTGCTTCTTTTCCTCGTGTCTTAGTCCCACCCACATAAGATGTGAGGAGAGAAGAATCAAGGAAACATTACTAATGACATGAGACATTTCATCCAATCCTGTGTTTCATGTTTGTGATCACATGTCACTCTTAGGACTCTGGATCTGGGTTTCATGTGTACCTGCAAACTGACATGACCCAGCTGCTCCATTCTGTCTTTCAGGATGTCCAATCTGAGGTCCACCTCCGTCAGAGAGGACAACAGCTCCTGATTGATGGTCCTCACCTGAGCCTCACACACCTGACAGGACAAAATGTCAGTCACTACAAATTAGTTAGGTGTAGAGTGTATACCTCCTCGGGTGTACTACATCAGTATATGTTCTACCTGAGCAAGTTCTGTCAGTTCTGTATCCAGCTGTTTCAGAGTTTCTTTATGTTTTTTGCCTTTTTTCTCTGTCAGACGTTCGATGATGTCAGAGCACGGACGATTGACCACTGAAAGAGAGCAGACGACAGGTGATAGGTTGTGCAAACTTTTATTCCTCTACCTCAGTTTGTGGTACTTTCATTTCAACATTTTAAATCCCCCATTGCTGCTCATTGTGCTTGTTTCCAGCCATTTACTGTTTAATCTTGGGTACCTCTAGATTAGCTTGGCACACCTCATAACTCCTGTGAGGTCCGCTCGGCGCGACCTGCCTCTCTTCCTCCTTTCTCTCCCCTGCTCTCTTATCCCACGGGCTCAGCGACACAGCTGTCACATTTGCCTGTTGATTGACTCCTGGGCGTGGTGCACAGCTGACGCTCGTCTCCACTAATTCAACCACTCTTACATAAACCCCTGGCAGACGCTCCTTTGTCATTGGAGCATTATATGTGTTATCGAGACATTATGTAATTTCAACACTGACAGTTTCCTGTGCAGTTGATTTCTTAATTTTTTCGATACATGTGTTCAGCTGTATGTAATGTGATTTCAACACAGACAGTTCCTGTGCTATTGATTTCAGCTCCATAGGTATCTGACAGCGAGCGCAATAACGACCGCAACACCTGCCCTGTCTTCTCCTTCCTGTCCCTTCTGTCATCGCACCTGTAGCCGTTCTCCTGTCTGCTCACCTGCCTTGGTTGTCTACTCACCTGTCCGTCCTGGTCCTCTGACTCTCCTGGTTCCTGCAGTCCTCCTGTCTTCTCACCTGCCCGTCCTGGTCTCCTCAGCCACCACTGCTCTAGCAGGTTATGGACTATACATATACTCGGTAACTTTGTTTTTGCGTTCTTAATAAATCAATTTTTTTCACTAGCACCTGGGTTTGCACCTTGAGTCCTCCCTTTTTGTTCTCCCTCACCCCCTTGGTGAGGGGACTCAACCATAACAACTCCAAATAGTTTATAACTATTTCAGAATCAGAGCCAAAAAGCCTCTTCTTTAAAATGAGGACAATTTGTGAACATGCACAACTCCTGCTCCTGGTGTTGTCGCAAGTGGGGTTAGAGAGTTAGGGTTAATGTGAATGTCTCCTCCATAGATAGGTAAACAATGGTATATGCACCAAAGAGATGTGTAACACTCTAAACAAACCACGTAACTGAGAAACCCCATATTTTAACTGGCATAATGCAGACACAGTAACTTCTCCAGTAAAGTCTCTCTAACATTACAGAAACAAGGCATTAACAGACGCACAACCTGTGTTTGTTACATTTACTGTTAAGTCCCACCGAGTAGTGGAAACATTGCCCCCTTTCAAGTAGCTCCAAGGCTGGTAAATCCAACCGGTGGTCACTGCGTCTTACACGACCGCATACAGTCCCAAAGTAGTGAAACTAATTCCAACAGGTAGCGTAGCGCAGACAATAACATCATGGGTCATTAATCTGCTGGTTAACCAGCAACACATCACCTGCTGCAGACACACTGGCCTCAAGCAGTTAGAACAAACAGGTACTGAGCTCTGGGGCAATCCAGCGTTGATCAGCTGATCACTAACCATGGTGGGGGATTCACTGGCGGCTGCTTGTAGTTTAGACCCGGTCAGGTAAAACAGTGAGTCCCTGTACAGGAACATTCCCGGACATGCAGTAACCTCAGGCCCTGTGTTTGTCTCCACATCCTCTGGTCACAGTGCAGCAGGAGGGAAAATATATCCACAAAACCAGGCGCAGTCGAAAAATTCTTTTACAATGGCACCGGTGGATGTCAGACAAGCTCAGATGAACACGCAACAGCCTGGAGATTATGACCATTGAAGGAAATCCTTAAACTATCACGTAATACTTTATCTTGTTAGAGAAAAAGTCTCAGGAGCGAGAGTTGGTGAGACATGTATAAACCGAGTTGCTTCTGCATAGAAATACTAGAAAATACGTTCACCTAATCTTTTAGCTTTAGGTCACATCTAAGATGATCATTCGCTGTTGTAACATTGTAGATAAGTCAAAAAACAAGGAAAAGTGTCCTGGGCTCTTTAAACATTTTCAGTGTCACTAAAAATATAAGATTTTATTCCATTCAGAAAATGCTGACAGAGGCTGTTACTGTCAGACTGCTGCTGCCTGTCATGTTACCACCAACACTAATCTATCAAAGTAACTGCTGTAAGTACAGTGTGCATGTCTAATACACATGTAAGTGAATGCACCATGGCCTCCTCTACAAACACCCATTTGATTCAAAATGATTCAAACTGATACAAACCCACAGTGTCAGGAAGTCTGAGGACATCATAAGCATCAGCATCCAGCGGGTGCCCCCTGCTGGAGGACAAACACAACAACCTGAGAGACAAGCAAACATCTCCCTCTATGCTGAGACAGAATGTGGGTTTCCATCCAAATGTAGCACAAAGTTTAACTAAATTTGGAGAAAATCTACAAAACGAAAGTTGAATGAATGTATGTGTCTACCTCCTCCTGCTGTGAGTGTCTGCGCTGACTGGGCGATGGAGATAAACAGCAGGCTATAATGTTACTACACTCTTTTGCTGCTAACATGCTGCTGACCTGATTAGGTCCCATACATCCCTTTTTATTCGCTCATTGTTTTATAGTGACTTATATGATTGTGTGTTATGTAAATAATGTGCCTTTCTTTTAAGCCGAGAGCTGCTGGAAAAAATTTTGTTGTGCTATGCATAATGACAATAAAGATTCTTGACTCCTGTGTTAATGTGAGGAAGCTTACACCCTCCTCATCGCTCCACACACATCTGAGGGTAGAGCCACATGATTCATGGACATCAGCATTTGTTCACTGAAGCCGTTTCATTTGTCACAATTTTATTTTTGGGATATGTTTTTTTTGGGGGGAATTTGAGAAAGTAAATAAAACCAGGTGGATGGAAACTCACCTAGAGACAGAGACAGACAAGGATGTTAAAAAATTAATACACATGTACATGCTAATGGTGAACTGCCCTGTCCGTCTACCTGCTGGCTGCACTGCAGTGTGTGTTGCTGTCCTCTGCCGACAGACAGTTTGTCCTTGTGTCTGTGCGCCCAGTCAGCAGAGACCTGGACAGCTGAACCTACAAAACACAGACCAGACACAGACCTGACTTCCAAGTCTTGAATTTCTTCAATGCAATTAATTCATTTAATAAACAGAAACAGTTCCCGTTGTTCTGAAGGTGTCTCTAACACTCCAACCACCTGGAAGATAAAATGATCACTGTTATCTAAGGTGGCTGTCAGCCCAGTGCCTGCACTGGTGTCCGGGCCCCAACTTGAGAAACTTAAAATGTTTTTTTAAATTGTTAAGTGGCATCAGTAATTTATCATCCATGTGGTTGAAAGAGTCTTTGCTGATTGTGGAAAAACCTTCAGAACGGAGCTGTTTTAAACATGGAGCTTTTATTTTTTTTTTTTTTTTTTTTTATTGAAACAAACACATTAACAAAACAGTACTGAACATGGGAGACAAGACAACAGTTACATGACATTACAAAAGGATATAGAGTGTTAACAAGGTTGTAGTGTGTGAAGTGTGGGTATTTCCAACTTATGCAGTCTATGAAATGCAAGAAAGGGAAAAGGAGAGGAAGTAAATTTTAAAAAAATTACCAATAATAATGACGATAACAGTACTATTAAATAATCAGTTTGTTACATTTCTAGAGGTTGGTGGGAATGTGTGTGTCCTCAGCCCCAGGTATTTGATTCAAGTTGAAATGTGTTAAAAATGGGTTCCATGTGTCATAAAAAGCAGATAAACTATTCTTGTGAGCGGATGTCATTTTCTCCAATGTGATGTATTCTGTCAGAAGGTTGGTCCAGTGGTTTATGTGTAGAGATTTTTTTGATTTCCAGTTTTGAAAGATTGTTTTCTTGGCAATAGCTAGAGAAATGAGGAGTGGGTTTTTATATTTAATTGGTAGGTGGTCGATTTCTATGATATTACAGAGTAAGCAAAGTGATGGAGAAGGAGGGATTCTACAGCCCAAGATGGTGGAGAGTTTCTGCTATCCAGAGGGAATGAACTGGTTGGCAGATCCAAGTAGCATGAAAATAATTGTTGGTGCAATCTAGAGTGCATTGTGAGCAGATGTCTGTGTCGGTAAAACCCATTTTGAACATTTTACTTTCTGTAATATGAGTCCTATAAATGGTCTTGTATTGTATAAGTTGTAAGTTTACATTGCATTTGGAAGGCTGTAGTGGGTTATTGATTACACTAATCTTTGATTTAATTATGGATTTTAGCTGATTGTACTGGAGGAACTGTTCTCTCTGAACTCTGTACTTCTGGATCAGTGTATTAAATGATATGAAGTGGTTATTTTCAAATAGGTGATGTAAGTGAGTGATTCCTTTGTGTTGGAAATAGATAGCGTTATTAAGCAGTTTGAAATCAGGGTTCTGCCAAATTGGAGTGTATCTACATGGTGCAAGTGATGATTTAGTGATTTTGTTTGCTTTCCACCAGGCTGTCTGAGTTGAGTGGATTGTGATGTTCTTACAGTAATTCATTTTCTTAGTAGAGTTTTTGAGAAAAGGAAGGTCTGCAACTGAGTTATTTTTGGAGTCATTTTGCTCTAATTCTATCCATGCACTGTTGTAACCGTCCTTCTGAATCCATTTGATGTGGAAAGTCCAAAACAGCAAAGCTTCAGATGGGAGACAATGAAAAGAAAATCTAACATAAAATGTCAGAGTAACAGCTTCACTGCTTCCTGTCTCTGTGTCTGTAAACTGTGAAAGAATGAACATCAACCTTCCAAAAGATCTTCCTCATTTGGAGTCTTGATGATGATGGTTTCTATCAGTTTCTAACACGTTACTCCAACATCTCTATAAATATTCAGTGTTTGTTAACCCGAAACAGATGCCCGAGCCACCTCAGCTGGCTCCTCTCGATGTGGAGGAGCATCGGTTCTACTCTGAGCTCCTCCCGGGTGACCGAGCTCCTCACCCTATCTGGGTGCGCCCAGCCGCACCGAAAAGATAGCACAGACTTCAGCGGAGAATTCTGAGAAACGAGCACACGCATGGCCGGGATTACGGTCTCGAATCTGATTCCGTGTTTATAAATAACGGTACGTGCCTGCGCACTCTCAAAATGTAGTGCGTGCGCCCAATAATGTTTTGCCGGAGATTCACTTCTGTAGTTTATGACAAACTCATTTCAGTTACAGGACTCCACCTTAACGTGACAATACATTTTGCCGTTCCTCTGGAACCTTGACTCACCTGAGCATCAAACAACTGCCGGTACACTTTACCGTCCGGAACCGTTCTGCTGTCACACATGCTTATGCCAATTAGCCCCCCGTCTGATAGCTAGTCCGGATCTCAAACCGAGCGACCGGTGTTTTCCCGGGCCGGAAATGTAACTCTTCAGCGTTGAGGTGAATCTTCTGGGCGGCGCTCACAAAGTCGGTTATTGCAAGGCTTCTAAATCGATATGAAGTCCGTTAAATTGCCCGTTAATCCGTCGGTACCTGCTTCCCTTCGCTGTCTGAAAGTTTATCTGTCACCGTGACAACGAACGCTATGCAACGGTCAGGGTCCGCGGAGGGAATCGGATATTCTGAAGATACAGAAACGTCTTTTTTTAAAATGTTTTTATTAAACAACAATGAAAATCAATACAAGATTTTTCAGCACAAACTGTTACAACAGATGTATAACTGTGCATTTAGAGCACAACAGGACAAAAGCAGGCAAATAATAACAAGGTGAAAAAGAATAACAGAACCAAACAAGTGAGAACAAAGAAAAGAAAATACAAAGAGTTAAAGCTATTTTGATATAAAATTAAAACGGGATCTCAGACAGGTGGCTGGGTGACAGTTCACAAGAATCATAGCTCCAAATGAATGCCCACGGAGCATCCCCTGCCTGTTCACGTTTCAAACCGATTTTCCCCACCCAGTGACACACCCGCTGAGAAAACAACTCTGGTAAATGGAGACTCCATAGTCAGAACTGTGAAGTTAGAGACACCATCGGCCATAGTCAAATATATTCCTGGGGTGTCTCAGGCTGGTCCACTGGTCCTACCAGATTCATCCAGCAGCAGGTCTGGACTTTAACACACGGATCAAATTATCAGTGGCCTCTGCAGTACGCTACAACAAACACTGCTCCACCTGGATGATATATACAACGCTGCGGGCGGCTTGCACACATCAACAACGCTGCGCTGTAATCACTGTGTCATCACAGGAGATACACAGTGAGAGCAGGGTCCATACACAGACATGTCACATATTGGACATGGTTCCACCGCAGACCAGCCAGCAGTTGGAGATGTTTGCATGAAAAACAAACTTCTAAACACATTGATATGGTAATTTAAGTTATAGGTATTGTCAGCATCTTTGGTGACCGACTCAATTTGAACAACTTAAGGACTAACAAGTGTGTGTGTGTGTGTGCGCGTGTGTGTGTGTGTGTGTGTGTGCGCACTACAAACCTATCCAGGTTGAAGAGTGTGTGCGAATTTCTAACAACAGTCTCCACTCCAAACTCTTGCGCAACCTTGATGATGGCGCCATCCCTATCCTTCCCATAAGGTTCCGGATCATATTCAAATGTTAACCTGGTCACTTTCCATTCCTACAGCAGAGAAAGAAAATCAGGAACCAAGAGAAGGCAGACAGAGAGTTTGTTAGCAAGGCAAGAGCACACTGTGCAGCAGGGCTGAGTGGTACAATTATGTTTGACCCGAACAAAAAACAACACAGTGTCATCCTTCAAGGCAGCTTTTTCGATTTAAGCATTTTTAAACAGCTTAAAAAGCCGACAAACCTTCCGCTCCTGTGTTCATTTTACACAGATGCCAGAATCCCGGTACCAGAGGCGTGATGGTTTTCATGATGTCTAGTGGTCTGTCGTACTTCATGGCCAATTTGAAAACTAAACAAATGGGCTGTTATCTGATTTAGTTTGATATTTCTATAAATTGAAATTAGGAATTAGAGAAGCCTACTATACTGCATCCAGTTTCGGTCTGTGTCTGTTTGAGGACATTCACAAAACATCCTCCCCACAGGGTTGTGAGTTGTAGGTGTGTTTGTTCGTGCTTTAGAATGTAACCAAAGTGAAACAATCACAGAATTACGTTTAAATTCTCAGATTCACTTTGATTTTGCTGATGCTGCTCTCTGAACTCAAATGGCTTTTCTCAAACTGTAAATAAACCCACTCACTGTTTTAATCACACCCTCTATTGTTTGGACATATGGCATCGAAGCCGAACACTTAATAGTTTTTCCTCAAAACCCTCTTCTGTCTGACCATTTTCTAATAACTTTTTGAATTTACATTAATGGATTATACTCTATGTGGGAAACAATTCCACTACAGTAGATGTCTATCAGGCAATGCTGTTACCAAGTTTAAGGAAATAACCTTAACTTAACTCCCACACAAGTCAATAATCTTGTTGATAGTACTGCAGCCTTCCTGCGTAATATACTTGATACCATTGCCCCTCTGAAAAAGAAGGTAGTGAAACAGAGGAGGCTAGCCCCGTGGTACAGCTCACAGCTCCGCTCCCTAAAGCAGGCATCACGAAAAATGGAAAGGAGGTGGCACTCCACTAAGTCAAAAGAGTTTTTCATTGCCTGGAAAAACATATTTAAAAAAACCCTTTGTAGTTTCAGAACTGCATATTATTCATCACTGATAGAGGAAAATAAGAACAACCCCAGGTTTCTTTTCAGCACTGTAGACAGGCCGACAAAGATCCACAGTGCTGTTGAGCTTAACATTGCCTTAGATCTCAGCAGCAATGACTTCATGAGCCTCCAGTACTGCTGTGAGGAATCTTGGACCAGGATATGTTCTTTAAATCACACATAAACCAAGTCTCTAGAACTGCCTTCTTTCACCTGTGCAATATTGACAAAATCAGGAGCATTCTGTCTGAAAGTGATGCTGAAAAACTGGTCCATGCATTTGTTACTTCCAGGCTGGACTAGTGTAACTCTTTACTGTCAGGATGTCCCAATAATTCCATAAAAAGCCTCCAGTTAATCCAAAATGCTGCAGTCAGAGTACTGACAGGAACTAGCAAGAGAGATCATATCTCTCCAATATTAGCTTCTCTCCACTGGCTCCCTGTAAAATTCAGAATAGAATTTAAAATCCTTCTCCTAACATACAAAGCCCTTAATGACAAGGCTCCATCGTATCTTAAAGACC